TATATTAATTTTTTTAAATATTTGTTGTAAATAAAACTTTATTTAAATTTTTTTATTTTAGTTAAATTCTCTGCATTTACACAATAAGAAAAGGGTTGCCATGGTAATTTTTTCCGCGCCGCGCTTCAAAATAATGAAGTGTTAGTAAGTGAAAAGTGCATAATATAAGTGAAAAAGTTATTCGCAATATACAAATTTTCAATGTAAAAGTTGTCAATTTTTGAACTTTAAATGCAAATATCTCAAAAACCATAAGTCAGCAGCAACTATATGTACACATATTCTTGATCTAGGGAACCTTCTCTATCCGTACATACCCATTTTAAGGAACACACCGAGTGTGAAATTTTCCAAAAAAATTTTTTTTTTCACATTTCGATAGGTTATAGCTTTAAAAATAACATACTAAAATTTGCTACAGCCATTTAAAAGAATAGCGCTCGGCAGTTAGATAACAATCACTTTATCTTTAAATGCGTTTTTCTCGAAACAGCATTTTTCTATTTTGCTGCAGTGATTACTCAAACACAGATGATCCGATCACTATCGAATTTTTTTTACGTTCTATATAGTTCTCCGTACAATGTGACGTATCGATTTTTGACCTGATCAAAAAATCGAATTTTGGCAGGCCAAAACCGACCAAAATTTTTCGTAAAATTCGACTTTATTTTTTAACGCCGCCATATTGTCAATTTTCGACTTTTTTTTTATCGTAGGTCATTGTACAGACAATATTATCTAGTTTAACAAGAATTTTTTTTTAATTTCATCCACGGAGAAGGCCGCAATCACTGCAGCAGTGAAGGACCTTGTTTCGGGCGTTTCGCGCGTTGGAGATCGACTGTAACTTAAAAAATATTTAATTTTTTTCTTGAAAAATTTCACTGTATATTCTTGAAACATATAAATATATTCTTAAAATTTTGAGTTAATTGATAAAGTATTTTTTTTTCTTATAAAAATTCCCAAAAATCACCTTTTTTATGCCATTACACTAGGTGTGCCCCTTAACTCCGAAATCCGGGGATGCTGTTCTAAATTTTACCCGTTTTTGCGTATTTTCTTTTGCTGACAACTAGACAGATATGGCAATAACATCTATTTGTTAGTATGCAACCCTATTCTTGTTGTGCAAATGCAGTGAATTTAACTGAAACAAAATAATTGAAATAAAGCTTTATTTGCAATAAATATTAAAAAAATTAATATACAAAAACATTATAGTGAAGTGTTAGTAAGTGAAAAGTGCAGAAGTGAAAAAGTTATTCACAATATACAAATTATCAATGTAAAAGTTGTCAATTTTTCAACTTTAAATGCAAATAGCTTTAAAAATATGATAGATAGATATGTATTTGTTTTATATGTGGTTTCCATTTTAGAAACAAATAAGTAAAACTCTATGATAATTTTATAAACTTTATATCATATCGGGGTGACTGACGTTCTCTCGCGTATTACTCATTGTTATGTTGGCGGCCTTAAGCCGCCCTTTAAAAAAATAACCCCGCTAGAACCAATACCCAGGGTGACCGAAGTACTTTCGCTTTATACCTCCTTCGGCTGGGATTTAGAATAGAATCCCCGGATTTCGGGAATAAAATAGGTATCACTGGAATGGTGACGTTCTCCAGATCACGAAAATATATATATATAGCTGCCGCTGACGGCACAATTCCGATGTCTTTGGCGCAGCGATCTGAAGGTACCGTTGGAGAGAGGAAGTCCTCCTGATAAAAAAATAGGTATAGGTTATAGGTAGCGCAAACGCTTAGTTTAGGAGATATTCGACCTTAAAGTTCAAAATTCGCAAAATTCGTACATTTCAAGACGCTATTTCACCACATTAAACACACTTTATTCACATTTTTCACTTCAAATTAATTAAATTACACTATAAACTTGTAAATAACTCCACATCTTACACTTTGCAGGTTTTTTACCTAAATAATTAACCTCATTTGTTTACCAAAAATTACTATGAAATGGAGCGCTGTTATGTGATGATAAGGCAATTCGCTGAAATTACTTTTTCGGAGAAATTCCTCTATTCATGCATATGGATATTTTCTTTTTTAAATTTATTAAGCAAATAAGTAATATTATATACATGTATTAGTAATATTATATAATAATAAGTATTATGTATACATATGTATAAGTAATATTACGTAATAAAGTGTAAAGTATATTAGTACAGTACGAAAACTCAAATTTCATTTCAATATGAGTGCATGGTAACCAACAAATATAACCACTTTATATCCAAAACTCAATTTTTAAATATAAAAATAACTGTATCGTCGCCTAAAATACAAAACAATGTATAATGAGAAATAAATGGAAATCGCTGACAGATGAAATAACTAAATTGTATCCATTTGATAACAGAAACTCAAATTTTGTTTCGTGGCCCCTTCGCCAATAAACCAAGAATTGCTGAACAAAAGTTGCCGTTTGTAATAACGGACTTACTAACAAACTCTGAAATGCTCAAACAAACTTGCACTGTCTGAACATACCTATGATATACTGATTTTAATGAATTTTTTGTTATCGAAAGGATATATTGTGTGAATGTAGTTCTAATGGTTGGTTACAAACTTGTATAATGCAAAATAAGTTTCTTCATTAGAGTTAGTGTACTAAGTTAAAATTAAGGAAATTATTAAAATGGACATAACAAACTCTGATGGCCAGAAAGGGAAGTATATTGAGTTGGTCATAATTGATGCTGAAATTAATCAAAATAATGGTAAATAAGAAGTATATATTTAGATAGAATCGTTTTGTTGATTCGTTTTTCTAGTAATGGATGTGTGAATAAGTAATTAAATATGCGAAGTTTTAGAAAGCTCTCGTCGAATTATAGACTCAAATGTTTTGGGCGATTGTAGATGTTTCTACGATTAGGAATATAATGGCTGTTGATTAGAAAAGTATACTCCGATTTCGGTATTAATGGGAAAATAACATTGGTCTTTAAACACTGGAAGAAGGGAGGGTTAAAACTTAGAATAGCATCCCCAGATTTCGGGAATAAAATGGGTATCTCTGGAAAGGTGACGTTCTCCAGATCACGAATATATATACATATATATATATATATATATTGCCGCTGACTTATAGTTTTAGAGATATTTGCATTTAAAGTTGAAAAATTGACAACTTTTACATTGAAAATTTGTATATTGCGAATAACTTTTTCACTTATATTATGCGCTTTTCACTAACTAACACTTCATTATTTTGAAGCGCGGCGCGGAAAAAATTACCATGGCAACCTTATTCTTGTTGTGTAAATGCAGATAATTTAACTAAAATAAAAAAAAAAATAAAATAAAGCTTTATTTACAACAAATATTAAAAAAATTAATATAAAGAAACCTTATAGTGATGAAGGGCTGGGATTTAGAATAGCATCCCCGGATTTCGAGGATAAAATGGGTATCACTGGAAAGGTAACGTTCTCCAGATCACGAAAATATATATATATATAGTTGCAGCTGACTTATAGTTTTAAAGATATTTGCGTTTAAAGTTAAAAAATTTACAACTTTTAAATTGATAATTTGTTTATTTTGAATAACTTTTTTACTTATATCGTGTACTTTTCACTTATTACACTTCACTATAACGTTTTTGTATATAAATTTTTTTAATATTTATTGCAAATAAAGCTTTATTTCAATTATTTTGTTCTAGTTAAATTCACTGCATTTGCACAACAAGAATAGGGTTGCATACTAGCAAATAAATGGTATTGCCATATCTGCCTAGTTGTCAAAAGAAAATAAGCAAAAGTATTATACCCCAAATATCCAAACCAATCCAAAACCGGGGTGTTCAGAGTTCTTTCGCGTAGAATTCCCTTCTGCAGTGGCGGCCTTGGCCGCGCTTCAAAGAAAATAACCCTGGCCGATCCAAAACCGGGGTGTTCAGAGTTCTTTCGCGTAGAACTCCCTTCTGAACTGGCGGCAACTATATATATWTTTTTTCGTGATCTGGAGAACGTCACCTTTCCAGTGATACCTACTTTATCCTCGAAATCCGGGGATTCTATTCCAAATCCCAGCCGAAAGAGGTATAAAGCGAAAGTACTTCGGTCACCGTGGGTATTGGTTCTAGCGGGGTTATTTTTTTAAAGGGCGGCTTAAGGCCGCCAACGTAACAATGAATAATACGCTATAAATATATATAGATATAAATTTTATAAAATTATCATAGAGTTTTACCTCTTTGTTTCTAAAATGGAAACCACATATAAAACAAATACATATCTATCTATCATAGTTTTAAAGCTATTTGCATTTAAAGTTGAAAAATTGACAACTTTTACATTGATAATTTGTATATTGTGAATAACTTTTTCACTTCTGCACTTTTCACTTACTAACACTTCACTATAATGTTTTTGTATATTAATTTTTTTAATATTTATTGCAAATAAAGCTTTATTTCAATTATTTTGTTTTAGTTCAATTCACTGCATTTGCACAACAAGAATAGGGTTGCATACTAACAAATAGATGTTATTGCCATAACTGTCTAGTTGTCAGCAAAAGAAAATAAGCAAAAACGGGTAAAATTTAGAACAGCATCCCCGGATTTCGGAGTTAAGGGGCACACCTAGTGTAATGGCATAAGAAAAGGTGATTTTTGGGAATTTTTATTAAAAAAAAAATACTTTATCAATTAACTCAAAATTTTAAGAATATATTTATATGTTTCAAGCATATACAGTGACATTTTTCAAGAAAAAAATTAAATATTTTTTAAGTTACAGTCGATCTCCAACGCGCGAAACGCCCGAAAAAAGGTCCTTCACTGCTGCAGTGATTGCGGCCTTCTCCGTGGATGAGATTAAAAAAAAAATTCTTGTTAAACTAGATAATATTGTCTGTACAATGACCTACGATAAAAAAAAAGTCGAAACTTGACAATATGGCGGCGTTAAAAAGAAAAAATTGTCGAATTTTACCCAAAATTTTGGTCGGTTTTGGCCTGCCAAAATTCGATTTTTTGATCAGGTCAAAAATCGATACGTCACATTGTACGGAGAACTATATAGAACGTAAAAAAAATTCGATAGTGATCGGATCATCTGTGTTTGAGTAATCACTGCAGCAAAATCGAAAAATGCTGTTTCGAGAAAAACGCATTTAAAAACAAAGTGATTCTTATCTAACTGCCGAGCGCTACTCTTTTAAATGGCTGTAGCAAATTTTAGTATGTTATTTTTAAAGGTATAACCTATCGAAATATGAAAAAAAAATTTTTTTTTGGAAAATTTCACACTCGGTGGGCCCCTTAAAATGGGTATGTACGGATAGAGAAGGTTCCCTAGATCAAGAATATGTGTACATATAGTTGCTGCTGACTTATGGTTTGTGAGATATTTGCATTTAAAGCTCAAAAATCAACTTTAAAATGCGTGTTTCTCCGATTTAAGTATAATGAATTTTACACTTATATTTTATACTTCTATATCCACTAACATTACACTAATTCGTTTCTTATCATTTATTTTATATTAAATAGTGCAAAAAGAAGATCTTATACTAAAGTTTTCCCTTTGCTTTCATTGATCTGTACAATTTTTCCGGGACCACCAATTTTCCCGACAGTCTCTTCATGGTCTATTTAGAATAAGACAACGGCTTCCCGACAATAGTCGGGGGTCCAGTCGCAGATGGTAGCTGTTGATAAAATTGCTATAAAACTATTTTTTCGCACTTCAGTGGTAATTTGGTATTTGCGAACCAAGTACCTTTGGCGCTCGATATAGCAGCTAGCGAACGACGATTACTTTTACGGCGTCTAAACGAGCCCACCGTATTATTCCCCGCTAGAGTTGGGATCATGGGCGTTTTATGTTTACGACACAATTTACTGCTTAAAATTAATCCCTCTTCTTCCGCATACGCAATGCACTTCTCCCTTATGCTAAACGTTTCCACAACTCTAGTGATGTTCCACATTTTTTTTAGTTCTGCAACGGTGAGAACATTCTTTGCACTTTTACGTGCACCGCGGCTGGTGGAAGGTTCATCGAAATCTACAGAGAATACTTAATTAAAAAATCAGAAATATTTGATAACATAATTGATCGTTTTGCACATGTTTTAAATTTTTTTTTTATAAAAAAAATTAAGTGAAATGAAAAAAWTTAAAAATCACTGACTGAACACTTGCTTAATTGCTCCGCCAAATTTAAAAGTAAAAGTGAAACAAAAAAAGAAACAGTACTTAGTTTGAAAATTAACAGTACAATTGTTGCTGGACTTATTACCGTTAAAGAAAGTGAAGTGTTGAAAAGGAAGTTATACTCTTCACGGCATTATAACTTTTTATCCAAGACGACTTTGGCCATGCTTAAAAAAACTATTCTAGTTGATCTAATTCCGTGGAATCCTTCATCGTCGATCCAACACCGGGGTGTTCAGTGTTTTTTCGCGTAGAACTACTTTCTGCACTGGCGGCCTTCGGGCGCGCTTGGAAAAAAAATAACCGTGTTCGATCCATCACCGGGGTATTCAGAGTTCTTTCGCGCAGAACTACTTTCAGGGCTGGCGGCCTTTGGCTGAAAATTTTTGCGTTTTCCATTTATGTATTTGCGGTATAAAGTTTTTCCTCWTTTTTTTTTTTTTCGTTGACAAATGGGCAGGTATGGCAATTTCATTTATTTGCTAGTATTCAACCCTTTTCTTTTTGTCTTTTTGTGCAAATGCACAGAATTTAACTAAAATAAAATTATTAAATTAAAACTTTATTTCCAATAAATATTAAAAAAATTAATATACAGAAACAGTATAATGAACTGTTAATAAGTGAAAAATGTATAATATAAGTGAAAAAGTCATATACAATATACGAATTATCAAGTTAGAAGTGGTGAATTTTTTAACTTTAAATGCAAATATATTAAAAACTATAGGTCAGCGGCAACTATATATAATTATTTTCGTGATGTGGAGAACGTCACCTTTCCATTGATACCCTTCGTCCCCGAAATCGGAGGATGCTATTCTAAATCCCAGCGGTGAAATGTGCACTTATTTTAATGTTAAAAGTGTGTAAGTAAATAAACAAACAAAGTGTAGGTAGGTACTTACAGTGATGAACAAAAGTATTGGCACAGCAAGATACCTTGACTTCGCCACTGTTTTTTTACCACTTATAAAATAAGTTTTTAATAAAAAAGTCCTTAGTTAGGACCAGTAGTTATCAATTTTATCTCTTATATTTATTTAATAGTAATTATAAAATGAAAAAAAGTGTTAATTATAGCGAAACAAAAGTATTGGTATTACTCCATGCTATTGATGAAACCAATTTTTGTGTTGTTTCTGAGCCAATATTCTGCAATTCCTCCATTAGCGTCACCTTCAACTCAGCTGATATTGCTCGCTTCTTAACGCGCCTATCTAGTTCTTCCCACAAATGTTCTATTGGGTTAAGATCGGACGATTGAGGGGGATGCGGTAATGTATGTTTTAGGTGAGGTGTTGAAATGTAAATGACTCTGGCAATTTAAATTTTTCGGTACTTTTTTTTTACATTTCTCTTCAGAATTTCCATATAATATTTCGTGTCCATAATGCTGTCTATGAATTCCAGCTCACCGACACCTGCAGCGGACGTGCAACCCCACACAGCTACCCCTTCACCGCCATGTTTTACAGTAACAGCAAGATTCTTTTTTTTGCAGTTCAGTGTTAGGCTTTCTCCACGCAGTTCGCCGACCATCAGATT